CCCCCCCCTGTGACTGCTAAGGTGAGAAGGTCATTGGTGGAACGAAGAATGTTCCGCCTCTGTAAGCGGGTGGAATGTTCTGACCCCGGAAGGGTTAATATAAAGTTTCAACACGATATATAATAATAGTATCATCCGCCAGAGATAAAAGACGTCACAGTGACTATGGAGGACGGACATGACGGGGGGAGGGGTTACTGGGTGTAACTATACAATACAATCTCATTACCTCCTCTGCTGCCAGTCCCAGCAATGTCTCCTCTCTACTTCCTCCCAAATCCCCTCAGAACTTCTTATTTATATGTGACATCACTTCCTGTTTTCCATAGAGACTTCCTGTCTGTAGGTGTCATAGAGACTTCCTGTCTGGCTATAAGTGAGATCACCACCTGGTGGAGCTCAGAGGAACTGCAGCCCAGAGAGACGTCTCGTAGTGTGAACCCGGCCTGGTGCTGTGTGTGTCTCTTCTGTATATCCTCATAGATGGGTCATCCCCTCCCCCACCGAGAGGGGAGTTGTATATATATGTGGTTTTTAGGAGTTGGAGAGCGTAGCCCAATGGGGGGGGGAGGGGGGCACGGTCTGCGACAAAGACTAAAGTAACAAGTGAACAATAAACGATTCGACTTCCGTATGTGTGTTTGGACCGAACGCCGACTTAGACGTTCCAGGACATAACCATAAGAAGTTCAATGGTTACCAGGAGGTACATGTGGTGGGGTAGGAGCCGGACACCCCCTAGGCTCATTGGTCACGTTCCTAATAGGTAAAGTGTCCTCAATAGTCCTCCACCAATGGGCCGGTGTGGGAGGGAAGGCCTCCATCCAAGTTCTGGCAACATATACAGTTTCACGTAGGAAGATTTTGGTATACTGGACTCGGCCTTTTGGCTAAGATCAAGCGTAGTATCTGTTCTTATCAGTTTTCGGGAAAGCACGGCGCCATCTTCAGTCCGGGAGGGCGGTTGCTTAGTATTCCCTGGAGTAATAGGTGGGTACTGGAGGGCTTTCCTTTTCCTCCCGGGTTGATTCTGGCCTGGTGCGCCAGGCTTGTCCTCGGTTGTAGGCAGGAACCCCTACGGCGCTCATACCTTCTGGTGGGAATGGGGCTTGTCTGGCCGAAGGGCTGGAAGCGTGAGAAGCTCCGGGTGATGTGATCCATGGGGTTGGCGTCTCAGGGGTGCCGGAGAAACACAGTGGGTGTGGGACCCATCAAGTGTGGCACTGGCACTAGGTCACATCATCTTTTTATTGCACTCGCCTCCTAGAGGTGTCCATCTATAATCCCCCGAAGAGGAGAAGAAGCTGTAGAACCTTGTAGAAGGACCATCACCATTGCCATGCGAGTCTCGTGTGGATGACGAGTCCATGTTCTGCTCTTCATGGAGGAACCGCTCTCATCTGGGGAATGATTGCCACAAATGACCCCTAATGTGACACGTCTACAAATGTCCTCCAAAACCTGGTTATCAAAGAAGCGACCCAACTCATGATTTGCTAAGGTGGGGTTATTTATTGTCATGGGGCATGGTTGATACTTGGTCTCCTCATCAGTTGAATCCATGAGGAGGAACTTCTCATCTCGGGAGTCGTCACAAACGACCGCTAAGTTGACACATCTACAAATGTCCTCCAAAACCTGGTCATCAAAGAAGCGACCCAACCCATGAAGTTTGGGGTTATTTACTGTCATAGGGCATGGTTGATGCTTGGGCTCTGCCTCAGTTGAAGGACATCCATGAGGAGGAACTTCTCATCTGGGGAGTCATGGTCACACAAAACCCCTAGGGTGACACATCTACAAACACCCTCCAAACCTTGGTCAGCATTGAGTCAACCCAACAGAGACACAAGGAGAACGTCTTGTGAGTAAAGATCTTACACAACTCAATGACTGAAATATCTACCCAGGGGCATGATTGATGCTTGGTCTCCACCTCAGTTGAAGGACATCCATGAGGAGGAACTTCTCATCTGGGGAGTCATGGTCACACTTGACCCCTAAGGTGACACATCTACACATTTTTCCAAAACCTGGTCAGCAAAGAAGCGACCCAACCCAGGATTTGCTAGTGTGGGGTTATTTACGATCATAGGGCATGGTTGATGCTTGGTCTACTCATCAGTGGAATCCATGAGGAGGAACTTCTCACCTGGGGAGTAATGGTCACACGTGACCCCTATGGTGACACATCTACACACGTCCTCCAAACCTTAGTCAGCAAAGCAACCCAACCCATGGTTTGCTAAAGTGTGGGGTTATTTACGGTCATAGGGCATGGTTGATGCTTGGTCTCCACATCAGTTGAAGGACATCCATGAAGAGGAACTTCTCATCTGGGGAGTCATCATCACAAGCAACCTCTAAGTTGACATCTACACTCGCCCTCCAAACCTTGGTCAGCATTGAGTCAACCCAACAGAGACACGAGGAGAACGTCTTGTGAGTAAAGACCTTAAACAACTCAATGACTGAAATATCTACCCAACCTTGGATTTACTAAATTGTGGGTTTATTCATTGTCATAGGGCATGATTGATGCTTGGTCTACACCCCAGTTGAAGGACATCCATGAGGAGGAACTTCTCATCTGGGGAGTCATCATCACAAGCAACCTCTAAGTTGACATCTACACTCGCCCTCCAAACCTTGGTCAGCATAGAGCCAACTCAACAGAGACACGAGGAGAACGTCTTGCGAGTCAAGACCTTACCCAACCCAATGACTGAATTATCCTAACCGGCCATGATAAACACGAGGAACGTGAGGTTGGGCCTCAACCTACATGGAGACACCGGGACCAAGAATTGGGAGTATGTACTTTAGATGTCATCTGATGGTCTTCTGGTTGGAGATCGTGATGGAGGAATTCCAGGTGGAACCATATACGGACTAAGGAACTTATCGTTGGGGTGTACTACAGGTCCCCTG